GGCGGCGCAGGCGGCGCGGGCGGGACCCGGGCGGCGCAGGGCCAGGTGGGCGGCCGCCCTGGGCCGGGGCCCGCGCACCGAGCCGCAGCGGCACACGCTGATGAGCACTGCGAAGGCCACCGCTGCGTAGGTGGACACGTAGTAGGCCGCCCCGGCCGCGCGGCAGGTGGCCTCCGGGAAGGGCCAGTGGGCCCGGCGGAGGTAGTAGGTGAGCCACAGCGGCAGCGTGAGCGTGAAGAGCACGTCAGCCAGGGCCAGGTTAAGCAGGTAGAGGCGCAGGGCCTGTCCCAGGCGCCTGCCGCTGCGGACGAACACCGCCAGGGCAGCCACGTTGGCGGGCAGCCCCAGGCCCAGCGCCAAGGCATAGGCCGCAGGCACCACGATGAAGCGAGCAGGGTCATCCCAGAGGCTGCAGCCTTCAACATCCAGGTCCCCAACACTGCTGTTCATCTCTGACCTCGAACTGGGCAGAGGAAGCCAGGTCACTGGGGAGGCTAGCCGCAAAAGCAGCCCCCCATTCCACCTTTTCCCACCCCAGTCCCCTCTTCTGTAGACCTTGTTGGGAGGGGACACGAGAGGCAAAGAATCCACGTGAGAGAGGATGAGGACCCAACTTGGCTAGCAGCTGCTGGGAATGGAGAGGAGGGGATGGACTCCGGAGTTCTTGGTGACAAGCTGTGGGAAATGAAGCGGCAGGAGTCCTAGATAACTTGGAAATTTCCAGCCTTGGTGAGGTGCCCCTCATAGATGGAGTATGGTTCAGACGTGGGGGACACAGCCATCTGCAGTAAGGCCACACAGGGCTGAGCCAACAGGGAGTTCTAGAGAAACAGGCTGGAATATAAAAATCCTTCCCAGAGGAAGGGCATGCTTGTAGTCCTGGCTTGGGCGAGGCAAAGGCATTACATGTAACCGAAATGTTTGTACCCCCATAATATTCTGAAATTTAAAAAAAAAAAAAGTCCTTCCCATAAAAAGCCCCACCCCGCTCCCTGTGCCACCCAGCAAGGATGGACAAATGCTCTTGTGATGCAGGGACTCAGAGCACAGGCCTATGCCCAGGGACCCTGGACTTGCTCTCCCCAGAGGTGCCCCAAGGCTTGCCTGGAGCACCCTTGGCAGAGCTGAAAAGGTTTCACAACCCTCAAGCCTTCTAGCCTGTTTCCTCCCCCCTCACCTTTTGACCAAAAAGAAGTCTTGGGTCTGTCTCAAAACTCTGGACAGAAAAGCAAAAAGAGCACAGCCCAGGAATCAAGCAGATTCCAGATATGCACATTTATTTACCATGTGACCTTGGGCAAATTACTCAGCTTCCCTGAGCCTGTCTTTGCTGCAGTAAAATGGAGATTAAAGTACCTACCTCACAGGGTTGTTGGGAGGATTATGAGAAAACATAAGTAAAACTCTGAGCCCTGTGGCTGACACCAGGGAGATACTTCATTACCGTCAGCTCCCTTCCCTTCTAGGCAGCACACAGATAAACGTGTACACCCACACAGGCACACAGTGTTAAGTCACAGACACCCCAGGCAAACAAAACAACACAAAAACATCTGGGCATGTTTCAGCCCTCTCGCCGCGGGAGGTAAGTGCCCAAGCTAATGTCCTGTTACTATTTTTGACACATAGACACACCCTTAGGGTGTCCCAAAACTCAGTTCCTCCAATACCAAAATCCAGATTTCTACCTTTGAGCCTCTCAGGTTCTAGTCCTTTTTGGGACCCTGAGTGATTGTATTTCCTTTTCCCCCCACCCTCAGTTCTGTCCACCATGGCTCTATCCCCCGACATCCCCCACCCGGAACCTCCCCCTGCCATCCCACCAGATCGTTCTCTCACCTCTTGCTGTTCTGGCTGCTGGAGTTCCCTCTGAGGTCCTGGGGTCCTGGCTTTAAGAAACTGAGACAGGGCAGAATCCCCTCCCACCCACACATCCCAGACCCTCCCATCAGCCAGCTAATCCCAGGACACGACATGAAGAATGGGCCCAACAGCTGGAAGGGGTGGGGCCCACCTGTGGCAGCTGTGAACTGGGTTTGTGGGGGTGCAGCCAGGGCCCCAAGGGAAGGGAGTATCGCTGCAGGGCAAGAAGGCCTTCAGCACAGGCAGCGAGAAATAAAGGTATTAGGAAGGCCAGGCAGCTGAATGTCATTGTGCTGAGCTGACCTAGATTTAGGCTGCGGTTTGGGGGGCACATTTCCTGAGGTCTGGCTTCTCCTTGAGCTGCTGAGGCACTGCTGGGGCTCAAGATACTCCTGCTGCTGTCAATCCCAACTGCTTCTGCACACCAGCTGCCAGCCCACTTCAGCACCCTGCCTTTCCTGCAGCTGCTGGGCCAGCCCTGCAGCCAAGCTTGGGGGGCCCAGTAGCTGCTTATCAGCCTACAGGCCAGGCGTTGGTAAACAGGAGCCCTCAATCTAGTGCCAGCTGTGAGAGGTTTTACTCAAAGTTCTGGCTGGAGACAGGCTGGCTGTGGCATCCTGGAAGGGGTGGAGAGTATGAGGCCAGGATCCTACGGGCTCCTGGTTCATTTTCACGGGCTTCAAAATTTTCATGCAGAGGGACAATTTTGGAAAGCAGGGCAGATTTAGTTACATTGGACAGGTCATCCCATCTACCCTAAAGTTGAAGAGAGTAGGGGTGCCCTGCGTGTCATTTTCAGCTTTGAAAACTGGTGCTGCAAAAAGTGTGGATTCTGGAACGAATCAGGCCTTAGTTCTAGTTTCAGGTCTGACACACAGACACTTAGGCTCTCCAAATCCATTTTATCATCTGTAGAACAAATTGATATTTAATAATAGCTAGCTTTCACTGATCACTTACTACATGTCAGGCCATGAAATAGTTAGCATTATTATCCATATCTTGCAAATAAGCTAGCTCATGGCAGAAACCATTATCTACCCTCCCCTTCTTCCTTACTGACCAGTGTGGGTAAGTCTTAACTAGCCTAAGTCCATCATGGGAATCCTTGCCAGTGATTGATCTAGGAATGGAAATACGACATAATTCTGGTCAGTGAGATGTGAGGGGAAATTTAGGGTCTTCTAAGCCAACTTTCCTCTCTTCACCTTTGGATGTTATGTGCAAATGTGCTTTCTGGAGCTGCTGCAGCTATTTTGCAGCTCTGAGGGCAGTAGCTAATAAATTGAGAGCAGCAGAGCAGAAAGCTGAAAGAATGTTGATCCTTGATATTCATCTTAAACAGCCAACATTGAAACCAAAGCTATGTTATCTCTGGACCTCTTATGTGAGAGAAAATGTTTTCTTATATCTATCCCTGCTGTAGGTTGATCACATCACACTGTGCTTTCAGACACAAGAAAGAAAAAAATCCAACTAAGGGCATCAACTTGCCAGGGGTTCGTGCTAGTCAGTGAAAGAGCAGCAATTAGCATTCTGTGGTGAACATGAAATGGGGTAATATACATAGACCTCTTTCACCCCTGTGGACTCCCAGAAGCCACTGTCCCTACCCCCAAAACAATTTGCAGGCTGGTGGCTAGAATATTTGCATAATATTTACATAAATAAAATAATTTTTTTCCACTATTTTCCCTCACAGGAGAGACACCATTTCCCAAAAGGCCCCCATTGGGATATGGTGAAGATGATTGGTGACATGATAGCAGATGCCCTAACATGTTGTCCACTTTCCCTCGAGAATTGGCACATGCACCTTTCTGAGCCCCAAGGACCTCTAGGGTTCCTCCCAGGCTGTGGGCCCTGCTGTACCATTCAGCGTCCCATGGAGTTGCTTGTCCCCCACTTCCATGTAGGTGTCAAGGAGCACTGAACTGAGGGCCACAACTCACCACCAGAGGCTGGTGTTCTCAGGTCCTATAAAGTGACTCAGTGCCCACCTTTGTTAGCTCTGCAAATCAAAAGTGTGGGAGATAAAAAGGAATGGGAGGAAATCTCTCATGTGGCTCAGAAGGCCACAGGCAGAAGCAGGTACTTAAACTCTGCCATACTCAACCTATAAATTTTATGAACCACAGTTCTATGTAAAAAAAAAAAAATAACCTATAAATTTTAAATATATATTTAAAACCTTAGGAATGCCTTTTGAACTTCTAGATAAAGAAAGTTAAGTATGCAAAGGTGATTTACTGTGAGGTTTACAACAGCAAAAAAATTAAGAACAACCCAAATGTTCCTCGTGAGGGGTTGAGCAAATATACTCCAATACATCCTTACAATGGAATACTATGCAGCCAGTAACATCAATGAGGCAAAACAGACATGGAATGGTGTTACAGTATATTAGATTTAAAAAATAGGTAATAAAGTAGGATATATGGTCTCATTTTCATTAAAAAAATGTATCTGTATAAAGGCACGGAAAAAAGTTGAGAGGTATACTAAGGCATTAAAAGTGGTTATTTTGGGACATTAGAATTTTGGTTGATTTAAATTTCTTTTCAATTTTCATATGACATAGGAATGTTAGTATGTATAACATGTACCCCTCAAAAAAGAGCAGTAAAGTTGAAGAGAAAAAGCAGGGCCAGGCAGACATCTCCTTCAATACTGGATGGCCCTGGACGTATTGGTAACAAGGTGGTAGACTCTGCGTGTTCTACCCTGTTCCTGCTGTGACAGCTGCATGGTATGAAGAGCAAAGACTCTCTATTCCCACGATTCCTTGAATGCACTTGGAGTCTTCTTCGCAGTGAGTCTGATCGCCTTCTTAGTTTAGCCTAAGAGGTGGCAGACATCCAGCAGCAGCAGGAACCCCAGGCAGACGATGGCCGGGACACAGGTGCTTAGTGACTCTTTCAGAGACATCAAGGTGAAGATAGCCCCTGGAATGGAAAGTGAGGGCCCTCAGGCTCCCTGGGAGAACCAAGGAGATCCAGGAGCTCAGGGCTCTCCAGCCTGGGCTGACCCACTCCAGCCCAAGCTCTCTCATTAACCACCTCCTCGCTACACACACACATAGCCACCCAAAACTAGATGCACTCATCGCTCTGGCCTCCCAGAGAAAGCAGGACCAGGAATTAGAAGGGTCTTGAACAAATGTAGCTCCTCTTAAAGGACAAGAAAGAAATGGAAACAATCCAGCAAAATAGGGCAGGGGCTAAGATAGGCAGATTGGGATTTGGGACAAATTCTTCCTGATCCTTCTCCTTTCTTAATCCTACACCTACTGGAGGGAAGGAGGCCCAGGGATTGGTGAGGAAGATGTTGGAAAGATCTGAAAATGAGGGAAGCTCCAGAGATGGAAAGAAAGCCTGGGGGGTGGGGTAGTAGTGGTGGCAGCAATGGTGACACAGGCCAGAGGACATAGAAGAGCCTGAAGATATCTGGCCTTTGAAGCAGCAGCTGTCTTTGTACATCAGCAGTTCCTGTGGGCAGAGCAAGGAGGGGGCCTCTCTAGGGAAATTCTCTGCCTTCTTGTTTGAGGGCCCCAGCTTCCCTGCTCTCCACACCAACCTGCCAGACACATAAGTCAAGTGGCACCTGCTGCTCCATCCCCCCTCCCAGGAGTGGCATGTGGAGAGAGGAGCAGGGGCCTTGAGGTTACAGAACATCCTCGCAATGGAATACTATGCAGCCATTAGAACTGAGGTACCAGGTATATTTGACATGGGAGTGTCATAGCATATTAAGTTTAAACAGCACCTGTCCTAGACTGAAGACTATGGAAACCGCAGTGGAGCAGGAAGTGCTCCAGATCCCAAAGAAAAAGGAGGTGTGGCATCTGTAAGATAGAACAGCCAGGTCTTTCCATCGTCCTCCCCCAGAAGACCCCATTTCCTCAGGCCAGTTGGCCCCCTTACCCATCATGAGCAGGGTCAAGCACAAGTTACTGATCTCTTGCAGCATCGGTGGGCCCATGACCAGCAGCAACCCAGCCAGCAGTTCCAGCCAGCCCACAGCTGTTTGGTAGCTCACCGGATCTGGCTGGTAGCCGAACGCCTTCAACGGGAACACCTCAGCAAACTGCACGAACAGGGCTTTCTAGGGGCAGCAGGGAATGCCTATCAGCCACGCTCCCCAAGGATGCACTGCCCAGGCACCCCACAGGGGCATTCTGTGCCTGAACTCTCAACTCCCTGGACAGAGGAACTACTACTATTCTAGGTTGGATCCAGGCGTACGATCAGCCTGGAGAGGAGAGGGCTGCCCTGCAGGGCTGAGCTGTGTAATCAGGAAACAGGCTCTGTGCTCCCAGTGAGAAGGGCAGAGATTGACTAATGTTCTCACCAGACCTCTCAACAGATGACAGCCCAGTCCCAAATCCCAGGAGAGGGAACTAGGCTTGGCTCCCTAGTGCCAAGGCCTGGGGAACTCCACAGCTACTTTCTTGTGCCCAGTGTGGTTTCTGTTCAGGCTGCTATGTAGGGAATATTTGGAGGTGGGGCAGAGGGTGGAAGGACTCATTAAACAGATTCCACTTTAAATCTACCCGGCTGGATCCTGGATCCCACTGCAGCAGACACAAGGGCAGCGTTAACGGGGCTCAAAGTGATTCTTCTGGCTGAGTCAGGCTCTCCCCTGGGCCAAGTGACAACTTCCCCCTGACCCTCAGGGCTATTTTTCCTGCTCCCCCTCTTCAGCTCTGCAGCAGAAGCTCTAAGCTGTCTGGTTCTGGGGATGTACCTCCCCAAATAACCCCCCACCCCAAGCCCAGAGTAGGGGGGAGTATCCGGGCCAGGGAGAGGGAGGCCAGCAGAGATCTCCAAGTCTGGCTTCTTTGAGAGTCTGGGGGATTGGTGGGCAGGACATGAATGCCTTCCCATGAGTGTGGAACAAGACAGGAGGCTGACTGGCGACTTCTAGGCTTCACTCTCAGGCTTCATGGGAAGGACACGAGTTAAGATCTTGAGTTAGGAGAGTAGTTTGTGTCCTGCTTCCGGACCAGTTGTGCAACCTTGAGCAGATACACTTCACCTTCAGGGCAGGTTTCCTACCCTGCAGAGCCAAGATGACTAAACCCCTGCCTGGAGTACCTCCCAAGAACTGAAGCAATAGAAGAAAGAGGGGAAGAGGGCGAGGAGGGAGCTCAGTCACTTTTCCTCTGCACCCTTCTCCCACAGGGTCCCTGAGGACTCCTCCCCCGGCTCTAAATTTGCCAGTTCGTCCCCTCCCCTCCGGCCTAGGGAAGCTCCGGAGGACTGGAGGAACTCCCCACGCCTCAGTCGAGGTGTGCAGGCGCGTCCCCCAGCTCCAGCTGAGCCTCGGAAGCCCGAAGGCAGGCAGGGCCGTGCCGGGCTGGGGCCGGGCCGAGCACACGCCGCTGCGGGCCCGCCCGCCCACGCCGCGCCGCTCACCATCTGCTCCGACGCCGGAGCCGAGAGCTGTTCTGAGAGCTTGGCCGCCCCCGTGAGCGCGAAGAAGCCGCCCAGCAGGACGCGCAGAGCCGAGAGCAGGAGCGCCATGGCCGCGCTCGCCCTGCGGGACGTCCCAGGCTTGGCCCCGCCGAAAACCCGCCCCTGCCTCCGGTTCATTTCCTCCCTCCCAGGGCCGGCCGGAACACCCGCGCCAGAGCGTCCTCGCCCGCGCCCGCCAGGGGGTCGCCACCCTGTTCTGCCCAGCGCCTGCTGCACGCGGCGAGAGCGTTGGGCGGGCATCCCCATCACCCAGGTGGGGACAGAGGCCACTGGCCCTGACTGACTGAACCGGCCCCTTGGAATTCATTTTCCCAGCCCACACGGAGTGGAGGCAAACACCCGTGGGTACCTGGATGGGGCTCAGTTACAATCAGAACACCCCGGGCTTGGTTCTTGCCTGTGTCACGCAAGCTGTGAGATCTGAGCTGTCGCCCCACCCCAGTGGGCCTCAGTGTCTGCATCTGTAGATGGGGATAAAGCCTTAACAGTTCTCCGGAGGTCCTGAAAGGCCCAGCACAAAGCCTGCACACGTAAGACCTCAGAAAATTATTTATAAACTAGTAAATTAATTGATAAAATTAGAAGCAATAAATCAGTAAGCATAATTATTAAGTAACTTGTTCCTTTCTATCTTTGCCTGAAATATCTCTTTCCTCTAATTTCTCTCAGCTAAAATTGAAATATGAAAGGTGTTTGAAAATTCAGATACTTGCAGCCACGGGAAGAGAGGTTTCGGGTTTTCACTGACAAAGCCTATGGGCCACTCCTGGCCTATCTGCTCTTACCTGGAAATCTGTCTAGGGCTGGGATGGGCAAACTATGGGCCAAATTTGGCCAGTTGTCTGGTGTTTTTCCACTCTCCCCCTCCCCCCAAGCTAATAATGTTTACTTTGGATAATAAAAAAATGTTTAAAGAAGCTTGCATCACACATGAAAATCATATGAAATTCTTATTTCAGTGTTCGCAAATAAAAATTTTATTGAAACACAGCCACATCCATTTGCATATTGTCTATGGCTGCTTTTGCACTGCAACCGCAGAGTTGAGTAGTTGTAACAATATGGCCAGCAAAGCCTAAAATATTTGCTATTTGGCCCTTTATGAAAAAAGTTTGCCAAGCCTTGGTCTAGTGAGCCAGAGAGGCCCAAGCAGGAGTCTCAAATTCCCCTGCTGCTTCCATTTCTTGTTAGCCAAGCGGCTTAGATCTTGCTTTTCCACCACTTTTTATTCACAACCTTGCTGGGGTAGGTGGCTTGTTGGCTGAAGACTGAAATGTCCCATGTACTTCTAAAGCCAAGCTGTTTCAATATCCAGGTTGTGCTATTACATTATAAACTGGGTGGGCCTTGCATTACCTGCAATCTTTGTCACTAGTCCAAATCTATGGATCGATATAATAACTAAATTCTCTATCCTGGATTATTAAAAGTATACATAATTATGTATAAATGCATAATTATTAAATTCCTCAAAAAGGGAAAAATTATGAAAACATTATTTAATCACTGAAAACACAAATCCACATTAGGAAATTATATTTTAGGAAACTTATACAAAACTTAACACAAAATTATTGACTTTGATGATAAGCAATATGCATGTTGCTATTCTTTCTCCTTTACTAATTTTTCTATCCTTGGAACTAAAGATGTGACTGCAAGTCTTACTGCAGGGCCAGAAACCAATAGATTTCTTTGTTTTGACTCAGTCAAAGCTGAAAAGGCAGCATCACATAAATAAACAGTTGAAAACGGTAATAAAAATCTCATCGCCTTTTCATGAAGTTCTGGGTAACTTGTCCTTGCATTTATCCAAAACTGAGTTACAGACATTGATCTAAATACTGATTGCAATCCTAAATCTGAAGATAACTGTGTTAGTTTTTCTTCTTCAAACTTGGTGAGATGATTATTTTGGTGATTCATAAAGGGATTAATTATCCAGAAATTTCCTGAACGCAAGTCGTCTTCTGGTGGAAAACAGTCATCAAATATTTGAGAAAGTCCTTCCAGGTGTTCAAAAATAATATTTGTGATGCTTCTCATATTTAAGTCTGATGAGTTTGAGAATTCAGAAAATGAAGGAAACATGTCATAATCATCCTCTTGTGTGCGCTTCAACCACATTTTTAACTTTTTCTTAAATATATCGATTTTATTATGCAAACTGAAGAAAGTAGTCAAAGTTCCTTGGAGACTTAAATTTAATTCATTTATAAGTGAAAATATATCTGATAAATAGGCCAGCTGTGCAACCCATTCCTGATCATGAAAATACTTGCCCAAATCTGAATGCATTTGATTTAAAAATATTTCAATTTCATGTCGTAATTCAAATAATCTTGTTAAAATTCTCCCTCTTGATATCCAACGTACTTCAGCATGAAGTGGTAAATTCACATGCTCAGACCTCATCTCGTCACACAAAATTGTTAACATACGTGAATTCAATGCATTGCTCTTTATAAAACTTAAAATTTGTGCTGACTGCAAAAGAATTTTATGTAAGCACGGAGTCAACTTTTCTGCTGCTAAATGTTCCCGGTGAATAAAACAACGTGTAAATGCCACTGTATTCAAGGCAACTTCTCGAATTTTTGCCCTTAAACCAAAATACCTGCCAGTCATGCTTACAGCCCCATCGGTACAGAGACCAACACAATGTTTCCAATTCAGAGATTTACTATCAATATATTTATTTATTAGTTCGAATATTTCAAAACCAGATATTTCAGAAGGCATTTCAATGCAAAATAATAATTCTTCTTTTATATCACTACAATCATAATCAATGAACCGAATATAGCACAAAAGAAGAGTGGTATCTGAGATTTCTGATGACTCATCTATCTGAAGAGCAAACCACTTTGACTCTCTGACCTTTTGAATTAGCTGATCTTCAATGTCTGCAGATAGTTCATCAATCCTGTGTCCAATCGTATTATTAGAAAGGGGAATGGTTTTCATTTTGTCTCCGGCACTTGAACCCAAAACTTCTGAACACATTTCTACTAAATATGGTTTAATTAATTCTTCGGCAACAGAGAATGGCTTCTTGCTGGCAGCAATTTGGAAAGCAATTAAATAAGAAGCTTTCACAAGTGACTTTTCAACCAGTAAACACTTCTTTAAAGAACTATTTTGACATTCCATTTCAAGAGATTTTTGTTCAAAAAAATCTACTGGTTTGTTTTCTAATTCTGAATGTTTTGTCTTCAAATGATGAGAAAGATTTGCCGGCTTCATGTTTTCACTGGATAAGATCTCTCCACAAATGACACACTGTGGCCTTGGTGAACTTTCTTTTGATCCAGGACAGATAATAAAACCAACTTTTAAATATTCCACATCATAAGTCTGGAAAAAACCTATTCTTCTTTTCTTTGCAGGTGGAGAATCAAGTTCCGCATCATTTTTCTCATTAGGCAGAGGTAAATCTGAATGAAATATTTGAATCACTGTTATTTTCAAGAATAAATAAGCAACGTTCTTTAGGTTTTTCTCCATACATTTAAAACTTGTATTTGTTACTATTTATATTTATCAAAAGAACACACTGATTAAAGTTTAAACACAAACCATAATACCTCCATGATGCCACTGAAAACTGAATCTCTCTTTGCCCAAAGCTTAGTCACTGAACTTTAATAAAACTGTAGGCTGTAGTACAGGTACAGGTAATCCCAAGTATCCAATAGATTATTGGAATTAGGGCTAAAGTGCACAGAATACATCAAATTAAGACTAAATTACTTTCAAGAATTCAGGAGAAAAAAAAGAAAACAAATGTAAAAAGTAAACATTTGATGAATCTAGATGAATGGTATACTAGTGTTCACTGTACTATATTTTCAACCTTTCTGAATTTTGAAATTTTTCAGCACTGAAGGTGCAGAAAAATATAAAGGGTAATTATTAATTTTAGTAGTGGCTGTGAGGTAGTAGAGAAATGAATCCCCTCAAGCACTGCTGCCTGGAACATAAATTGATGCAATGTTTCAGGAGAGGCAATTTAGCAACAGGGATCAAGAGCCTTAAAAATCTATGATAGGCCGGGCGCGGTGGTTCACGCCTGTAATCCTAGCACTCTGGGAGGCCGAGGCTGGAGGATCGCTCGAGATCAGGAGTTCAAGACCAGCCTGAGCAAGAGTGAAACCCTGTCTCTACTAAAAATAGAAAGAAATTAGCTGGACAACTAAAAATATATAGAAAAATTAGCCAGGCATGGTGGCGCATGCCTGTAGTCCCAGCTACTTGGGAGGCTGAGGCAGAAGGATCGCTTAAGCCCAGGAGTTCGAGGTTGCTGTGAGCTAGGCTGATGCCACGGCACTCTAGCCTAGGCAACAGAGCGAGACACTGTCTCCAAAAAAAAAAAAAATCTATGATAGCCTTTCTGTCAGTAATTTTACTGCTTGGGATTTACCCTAAGGACATAATTAGACAAGTGGACAAAGATCTATTAACATACTTCAATATGCTTATAAAAATCTAAATGTCCAATCTTAGGGGGTTGGTTATATTATAAAAACATTGAAATCTATGTCTGTTAAGAATCTAAATGTATTATTTAAATTTATACTGATGTGGAAGGATGTTTCCAATGTAATGTCAAATGACAAAGTATTTGAATGTTTACTATAAGCTAGGCACTGTTCTAAGCCTTGGGGATACAGCAGAAAACAAGACAAAGTCCTGCTCTTATTGGCCTTACGTTTTAGAGGGAAACAGAAAATAAATAAGTAAAACAAACATATAATGTATAATTCCAGGTAGTAAACCAAGGTAAGGGAAGGCAGCATGATGTAATACTTTACAACAGTATTAGACAACAATCTAATATTTAATCTAGAATTCACAAAGATGTGTACCCACACATATAAACGTCCACAAATCCTTTACTACCCTCCACGTGTGAGTGTGTATATAACATAAATTCTTGTGCACAGAGTGTATCATTTTAATAGGAATATAAAGTAAATGTCCTGAGGAAAGAAAACAGGATTTTCCTTGACTTTTATTGAAAGTAAAAACTCATGATCACCTGTTCATAGACTAA